AAGACCCAGCCTGGGCCGGGAAGGCGGCCGGAGCTTGAGGGGGAGCTGTGACCTGGTCCCTGAGCAGCCTCCCAGCAGGGAGAAGCCCTTCAGGTGCTTGGAATGTGGGAAGAGCTTCAGGCAGAGCTCCCACCTGCTCCGACACCAGCACATCCACACTGGGGAACGGCCCTATACCTGTGGGGAATGTGGGAAGAGCTTCAGGAACAGCTCCCACCTCCTCACCCACCAGCGCATCCACACTGGGGAACGTCCCTACATGTGTGGGGAATGTGGGAAGAGCTTCAGCCGGAGCTCCCACCTCCACATCCACCAGCGCATCCACAGCAGGGAAAGGCCTTACAAGTGTGGGGAATGTGGGAAGAGCTTTAGCCTGAGCTCCAACCTCCACATCCACCAGCGCATCCACAGCAGGGAACGGCCCTACAAGTGTGGGGAATGTGGGAAGAGCTTTAACCAGAGTTCCAGCCTCCGCACCCACCAGCTCATCCACACTGGAGAACAGCCCTACGCGTGTGGGGAATGTGGGAAGAGGTTTCAGACCAGCTCCAATCTCCTCATGCATGAGCGGCTTCACACGGATGAGAGGCCCTTCCGCTGCACCGACTGCGGGAAGGGCTTCAAGGAGAACGGCACCCTCGTCAGGCACCGGCGCATCCACACAGGGGAGAGGCCCTACAAGTGTGGGGAGTGTGGGAAGAGCTTCACCAACAGCTCTAACTTGACCAGACACCGGCGGACCCACCGGTAAGGGAGCCCTGTGAGTGCCTCAACTGCAGGAAGAGCTTCAGCTGCTGCTTCCACCCTGAATGAAGCCCCTGATGCTGAGGCAACCCCTGGAGTCCAGTGGCTGTCAGTCCATCCCTTTCAACCACAAAGGGCCAGTCCCCTTTCCCAGGGGCAGCTTCTTCCACCAGAACCCTTCTTGTGCGGTCAGTCCTGGAGGTTGAGAGCAGAGATCTCCCCCCGAGCGTTGGTCTGGGGGAGTTCCATCCATCTCTTGTTAGGAATTCTTGCTTTTGTGCCAGCTTTGGTAGAATTGCTTCACCAATTGCTTTAGTGTAGAGCACTGTCCTGTCTTATCCTGTACTCCTGGTAGTTTTAGTGTTTCTGTTGTGCAGTAAATAATTCTGATGAAGATCTTCTGTCTGATCATTTGTAACCCTAAATAATTAATTTCTATCAATAGATCTGGTTTGCCATCATTAAAACCTGGGGGACAAAATGGTTCAGTCACAGCTCTGTAATTCCTCTAAACTGAAAGTGTTGGCATGATCCAAGGCTGAGATTGGATCCAGCAGCCTCCAGAACCCCACAGGGAGTTGGGAGCTCAGGGGAACCACTCCCTTTCCTAAAACCTGGTGCCCAAAGACCCCCATGAGACTGTTGGACCCTCCAGACCATCCCCCCTTTTCCACCCTTCTCCCTGTTCCTCTCACTTTTTCATGGTCCCCTCAATCTTCAGCCCCTCCCTGAGTGATCCTCAGGATCACTCTGAGGTCTCAACCCCCACTTTTTTCCCCCCTCTCCCACCCCTTCCACATCATCCCCCCACTCCCCAGCCCCCTCATGCTCAGTTTGGGGGTCCCACCCTCCCCTTTCCCCACTCTTCTGACCTCTCCCACCCATTTCCCATCATCCCCCAAAGCTCAGTGCCCCTCCCCCCCACACTTTTGGGGGGTCCCACTCCCCTCCCACTCAGTTTGGGGTCCCACCACCCCTTTATCCCCTCTGACCCCTCTTTTCCCACTGACCTCCCCCTTCCCACCCCCCGCTCACCCGAGAGCTCCTCGCCCGCAGCCGGGGGGGCTCCCAGCACCACCAGTGCCCAGAGAATTTGCCCCAGAAAAGGGGTTGGGTGGGGTCCTGGGTGGGCTCTGAGTGTGTTTGGTGGTGCTTTGGGAGCTCTAAGGAGGTTTTGGGGGGTCCCAGCACCTTTTGGGGTGAGCTGGGTGCCTACTGAGGGGTAGGTGCTCTCCCAAAGCCCCCCCAGAACGGGCTGACATTGGGGAAAAACCAGGGGGGACCCATTCCCGATCCATCCCGGGGCCGGTTCTGCTCCCCCCAAACTCGGCTCCTCCCTGTGGGTCCCCCCACGCCCCCTCCTCCCACTGCTCCCCAGTAACCGGGACTGGGGAGATCTGGGAAGCTTTACTGGGATCACTGGGAGCAGCTGGGTGGTGTCAGAATAAAAGCAGGGGAGGGGGGACACACGACCCCCCCAAAATCCTCACGGAGACGAGGGGGGGGGTCCAGGCTGGGCCCGAGGCCCCGGGGAGGGGCTGCAGCCGCTGCTGACTCAGGAGCTCTGTGGGGAGAGAAAAGGGGGTGACAGCGGGGTGGGGGG